GAAAATAGCTTTTATGGCTCTTCACTGGCAACCATAGCTGAGTCTGTTTTCGTTGCCCGCATGCAGAAGGCGAGCTCAGTCAGCGTCTTCGTAACTTACAATTCCCGTACCATAAAGCCGCCGTCACACTGCTTGAACATGGCACAAAAGGCAGGGTGTTCCTTACAGACGCCCTAACAAGCTTCCGCACCTCAAGCACCTTCGAAGGAGGTTTGCTTGTTACACACGTATTTAATTTTTATTTGTCAATAATGCAAGCCCCACGTATACGGCCCATGCTTCCAACATCTGCGCAGACAGTTGTTGCATGTCCAATATGACAAAATCGTAATACTACAAGAAAAAAAAAAAAAAAACTCACATCGGAAAGTGTCTGCCGGCGCACTCTCTTGTATGAGGTTTTAGCAGTTTGACCGAGGCTTTAGCGCTCCCGTTCTCAGCTGACGATAATTGGGGGTGCGATTCTTCGCATGCGCTGTGAACAACGCCGAGCGCGTTGCTTTTAATTGTGCTCACTGTGCGGACCTAGGCGCTCAAATGCTTACTTCTGTAAAGCATCCTCGATCGCAACAAATCAATACCTGACTCATCCATCGCTTAGCTCCATCGAGAGCAGCAGATGTTTCGAAATAAATAATATAAATATTTTTATATCTCACGGACGCCGCGTAATATAGTTTCGAGGATTTACTGCACATTGCGCGACATAGCATCGACGCGACATCATTTCGTGAAAACACTGCAGACTTCGGAGGGCGACGTCGAAGCTTAACTCGTAAAGCAGCTCACACAATTTGCATCTATAGTCGGTTGCAAGCTAAGAAAAAACCGGAAATGCCTCTCAGAGGAAAATGGAATCCTACGCCGAGAAACGCCAGCCAATCGTTTTCTTGACGTCACGATTCCGTGGACCAATCGCGATCCTTTTGAAAAAAAAAAAAAAAAGCTCAACATGGCTGCTGGCCTTAGCAACGCGACGCTAGTTTCTCGTGACAATTATTCTGCTTTTTTGCACCGCGTTTTACGTGCCCGAGGTTACGCCACGAAATTTTAACGGTATCGGCTTGCGTTTGCAGCAGTTTTTGCGCGACACCGTGAGAATCCAGCGACGCTATCGCCAACGAAAATTTCGAAGCGGGCGCGAGGCTTAGCACTGCTGAGAGGTGAGAAGCTACGCCGGACGTCGTCTGCTTCGTTGGATTGTGCTTCTTGAAGAACCGCTTTGGTGTCGCCGGTAAGGCTGCACCAGGCTGTTTCGTCCAAGAAGAATCAGGGGAATCGCTTTCCGATGTCACCTCAGTGGGATCCATGACGGAAGACAAAGAGAGCGGGGCGCGGTGGTGGTGTCGATGACTTGGGAGGGTGCCGATTTGTCAAAACCCGAAAAGTATAATTATTCTTGTTTTCTATTCATCCAATAAAATAAAGGCACACATTTTGTGCGCAAAGCCCACAAAACTAAGTAAATCACTAAATATTTATTATTTGCAGGAACTATAAGTGCTTCGTTTTTCCCAACGGCTTTCCCTCAATCGAAGGCGCTGGAAGACGGTATGTTAGACAGTATCTTGGACAGAAAATGAATTGGGAAGACGGTACATTGGACATAACTTTCTTTCTTTACTAAACAGCTATTTCGTTGACAAAAACGTATTCTAACTTATTTAAATGTCCTGAATGAATTAAATAAATAATGTAGTAGTTTAAGACACGTTTCCTGGAGGAAGAAAAAGCAACGTTGCTAGCGAACTACTTTCTCGACGGCGGAGGCATTTCAGATGGGCGCACTGCGCTTGTGGGTGGAGCTAAAAGATTGTTTTCAGGTTGCATCCGACTATAGAGGCAAAATAATGATCTTACTAACATGTCCGACGACTTTACGTTCCGTACCAGAAGGATGCAACGCTTTCCAGTGACCTCCAACAGGCCTCACACCACCAGTCCCCTTAACGAGCAACCATGCGGACGGGCATCGTTGAAGTCCCATACCATCGTAACCCTCTTCAGAAAATCGCCATCATTCATATCCAGCTATCTACAAACACACACACACAAAAACGGTCTATTTCTCCCAACTCATTGGAGCTATCTCGGGCGTGGTCGGCAGTCCGGGCGTACTTCCGCGGCGATTGCCGTTATTGGTCCGGCAGGGAGCGCCACCTATAAAGCAGGGAACGGTTCGGCGTTTTTTCGATTGAAAAGGGCAGGTCGGGAAAGAAAGGCCGCGCTCTCTCGCGTGAGGCAGTTGCATTTGGCTCGACGTTGGAAGCTGGACTCGGCACGCGATCGCTCTGCCTTTTTCCACCTAACTGATTTTTGGACAGGGGCGTTGCGCTTCTCCGCTCGCGGTCTGTCGGAGCGATTCTCCCTCCGCGGCGCCATATGCCCTTGCCGCTATCTCTGCGCCCCCTTTTATTTCTTTTAATCAGCGGGATGTGATATTCACGTGCGCACGAAAAGACCGCGGAAATATCTGGATTGCCGTTTCTGCATAAACGAAGACTATAGAGTTTAGTTCTTTTTTTTTCCATTGTGAATGGTTGCTGGTCGGGTAATTGGGAATGATATAGACGTAGATCAGAATGTGTTATTAATGATGCGATCGTCGTATAAAACGTTGCGTGAGCGGGGCCCCGGAGTTAATGAAAAGACGTGTGTGTGTGCAAAAGTGTGCGTGTCCGTGCGTGCGCGCGCGCACGCGTGTGTGTATGTGTGTTTGCATTTATTTATAGTTCTTTCTTTTCCCGCATAATGTTTAACTATATAGGCTTTCATACAATTGCGTGTGATCTAAATCGAAGGATGCCCTCACTTGTCCGTCTATTCTGCACGGACAGCGTTGACGCTACGCTATAATAGTTTATCCTATCGACTACGGTAACGAAAGTTACGGCTTCGTCGATTGAAGGATCAATGTTCCTTATCCTCTCTAAATGTTGTCCTTATAAAGGTAACGGCGCATCATACGCATCCCCGTGTTTGACCAACCTATACGTTCTGGAATTCTACGGCCTTATTCCGGCCGGACGTATACTCCGTAACTTTTGCGCATAACTGATTTGATCTCTGTAAATGGGACCTCACTATATCCCGCGAACGTATCACCATCTCTTGGATTAATAAGACCGTAACGCTGAACTTTCTACGTCGCCGCCCGCGGGTCAGCGCGTATTGGACAGGAAGTGGTACGTCAGTGTTCGGCTTGGACTCGTGTCCAATCAGTGAAAGCACCACTCCCAGCCGAACGGTGACGCGGCACTTCTGTTCCATCTGAGCCGACCCGCATTGGCCCAATGCCACCTAGAAGACAAGGCCGGTGCCTTTGCCCCCAAAGACGTCATCACTGGTGGCCCCACGCAGCGCAGCCAGCACTGCGTGCGTGGCGGCCCCACGCACGCAGTGCATCACCACCTGCGCGTCGTGCAGCGTCCCACAGCGCAACACGGACGCGTCTACCGCTTTGCGGCGTCCTCGTCCAGCTTCGGCGTGCCTGCCGCTCGGGGCTGGTCCGAGGTCCACCGCCGATGACGTCGCGCACGGGCCTTGTCTTCCAGGTGTTATCGGTAGGCCTTCGGTAGGTAACGTAGAAAAAATGAGCAATGCGGCCGTCAGCTAGGAGGTGTTGGAGAGATATGCAGTCTCCCGCGATATGCAAATCCCACCTGGGAGCGCGTGGACGGGATGGGGACTGACGGAGGCGCTGAGCGCGCTCCGGGCTCTATCCGGGCGATTCTATTCTAGCCCGAGGGGGAGGAATCGGAAGACTCAGTCGGGGCTCAGCTCGAGCGCAAAGTGCGCTTATCAATGTCTGGTTTCGGTTTCGCGGCGGTGAGTGGGGGCTCTAATTCAAACATTTGGCACAAAAAAAAAAAAAAAAGAAAACAATCGGTGGGAAATTTGATGGCCGTGATTGGACGGCGCCGCGCTTGATCTTGGCGCTGTCCAATCACGAAGGTCGAATCCCTCGTCGTCTTTTTCGCCACGTGTTCAGTTCGTCGGCGTCATACCATGCTATTTCCTACTAAGCGAGAGCGCGTAGACACGTCTGAACGCCGAACTCTAATGCGGAGTGCAAGTTCGTGTGTTTCTTGAACAGGGGTTGCGAGGATGTCAGAACGTCGAGCTGTTATTGGCTGATTGAAAAAAAGAATAGCGGGTAGACCTCAAGGCATCGAGCATTGAGGTCTACCCACTATCCTTTCAATCAAAGCCAATCAGAGCTTGGCCTTCGTTTTTACGTCACCTCAACTCCCGCGGAAGAGGCAACTTGCTTTCCGCATTGGAAATATTAGTGGGTAAACCTAAAGCTAGCTGTCTTTGTCTGCAGTGCACTTGTCGAACACGATAGAACGCGGAACGCCGACGTCCGGCGTCTGTCTTTCGCATTCGAACACGTTCGTCCACGAGTACTTTCTCTGCCCATTGCTGTCTGAGAGAGAGAGACTGGGCCGAGCCAAGGCGATTATTCCAAATCTGTTAAATTGTTAAAGCGCAAGATCCGTGCACCCTTCTAAAAGTATAAATGCGCTCTTCGACGCATTTTATCTTTCAAACCGAAACCAAAAACCGTTAAGCGCGTTCAGGCCCGGTGGAGCCTCGAGTGAGTGTCAGCTCCCCTCGAAGCATAAATGGGATCGCCCGGAGCGCGCGCAGCGCCCCCACTCGCCGCTATGTCGGCCACGCGCTCAATGTGGGTCTTCCATATTGCAAGGCACTGTACACTTTTGCATGGATTTTAGGTAAGACCGGCTGGGTTAAGTCAACCCTACTTACCGACAGCTTAAGAAACGGCGGGCGTAACGACTCCAGACCCTCTTATGAACGCTGCACAGCCAATCACATTGCGGCATCAGACGACAAGGATGACGGAGGACCAATCACGAGGCGGGAACGTTATAATTAAGCCACACCCGTAGTGTGTCTTCAACTGTCACGTGACTTTGTAAAATGAGCAGTCGCCGTGCTCGATATCAAACTGTCCGTCTTTTATCCGCTTTCAGCCGAGCTCAAGATGGAGGTCTTACGAGAACGAGGACTTCGGGAAAACCTGGAAAAGCAGCTAACGGAGGAGCAGCGGACCAGGGGTGAGTCTTTTCGACACAATTTTTATTTTATTTTATCGCAGCTCATAGGCTGTAATGCTGTAATAATGTAATACTAATCTAACTTGGTGTTGGCAGGATACGTGGAGTGATTATGGAATTAATAAAGATCGAATGTCTCTTAGCAAATCGATGACCACCATTCTTTTAAAGCAAAACCAATAATTTCCGTTTTAAGTTCTTATACGATCTTATGATAAAAACAAAAATATTGCTGATCCGGTGGTAGAACAAAAATAATTAAGACCTTTGTGTTTAGACAACGTAAGGTTGGTTTTCCTTTGCGGTATGGCGACACTGGTTTACGCTGTCACGCCATACAGTGACCGCACGGCCGCTCGCCGGTACGATGCTCATCAAGGCCCAAACGGGCAGAGGTGAGGATCGAATATTCCGACGACTGTATATGGACGATTGATAGCTCGTTCCATTCAATTCACGAGAGATTGGATAATAGAAATAATTTTTTTTTTTATCTTGAAAATCGTCATCCGACTTGGGGTGGAGGGATGCGTGGTGAAAATTCACGTTTCACCTATTTAACGACAGCAAGTTACTCGAAAAGGTCATTGCCACCTCTGAGGTCACGATTCAGTCAAATGCACGCAGACCTAAGCGCACAGCTCCAGACCGCCTGGCCCAATTTTACATCTGGCGCCCAAACCAGCACGGTAATGTGTAGACACACGAGGCGTCCCTGTTGGACTAGGCTGGCACGCAACCGCACTCATTAAGACAAACACCCGTACTCAACAACGTAAAAAAAATGAAACAAAGAAACGTCGTAAAGTGGTGTATTTCGTTTCTTCTCGACGCTCTTCCGGAAGTAGTCGGTACGACCCACGTATCCCACATTGTTTTCTCAGTATCTTTAAATGGAATACTTCCCGATCCCGTTACCGAGTCGCCCTTGCATGCGTCTCGTGTTAGTAGTCCCACCTTCCACCTCAGGTCTACCGGCTTCCTCGATATTTGTACACGACTTTACGCGTGTATGCTTTCGGAGGCGTTCCACGTTTCGTTCGTATAACTGCCGTAAAACTATACCCCGCGAAAGAAACATGGCGCTTCCCGTTCTTGCACTCCCTCCCATCTTAAGCGAATTCCAAGCTTTAAAACGCAACTCACCTGCGCCAATACTCGAGCAGCAGAAGCAACTGCCGAAGGAATGACCGCAGTTAAAACCAAGAGGTTAAAACGGTGTAGTGAACGCATATCTATGTCCTAATTCTCCTCGCTGTTTCTGTTCTGTCAATTTTAGCTGTCAATTTTAGCACCGGCTTGCTTCCTGTAGTAAGTTAACGCATTGTTTAAAACCAAGCGGGCCTTGTATCGGCACTGTGCGCGTGCACATACCACATTTGAGTGAGCTGAAGCTTTTGCAGATGTGGCCTGCCAACAGCAGTGTCACTACAGCTGCATAGTGTTGTCAGAGACGCGCCTTCGGGCTGTGAGACTAAATAAATAGCCTCCTATATACTGTCAAAACCGGGCAGATCGCCACGAGAAGTGGCCGCCGAAATGGAAAAGTTGGAGCGGCAGACAACGAATGAGGGGAGAGCCACTCGACTGGCGCCCCGCTGCGGCGAGACGCCGAAACACACTTCTCCCGAGCGAACAAGCGTGTTTCGGGTCCTCGCCGCTGCAAAAGCTGTGCGCTGGCGTCCAGGTTCCCCGAGAAAGGGCTCTTTGATGCTCTGTGCTACCAGATGCTCGCGCTCCCAATCTGCGACCGGGCACTCTATGGCTCCGTCGTCGAACTGCCAGGCTTTGTGAGCATAGAGGAGGCTAAGGTAAATCAACTTAAATGAAAGGAACACCCGCAGGCTCTTTTAGCCCGTGGCGCAGTCAGTGTACATATAAGACAAAAGATGAGTGTGAGCCGGCCATTTCTTGTCCTTTTTGAACGAGGTGCTGGGACGCCTGCATTTTAAATTCCATATTGGATTGATTTCGCTGTATATGAATGCACTCCAGATATTAACCATTTGTACACCCAGCAGAGAAATGTTCTGTTATCGCCTCAAAGGTTTAGAATACTGCTCGGGACACGCATCCACGCCGGTATGCGTAGAAGGCGTTTCACCGAAGTAAGGCACACGTGAATTAGGTGCTTTCAGTGAAATATTTTGGAGCTCCGATAATGATGCCCAGTCACAATACAGTGCATGCTCAAAGGCGCCCTTGAAGGTAAAAACACTCGCTCACACCAACCAGTATGTGGTCCACGAACCAGAAATGTGGCAGATGTGTACTAAGACGCCAACAGTCCCATTATTCTAAGGGAATACGGCCAATCATAAAAGTACGATTAAGGTATATAAGGTCGCTGCGTCATTTTAAGACTCTCATTGCATGTACAGACTTTGCTACATCTGTAACAATTATTCGGACTTTGTCGTATTTTTCATCACGTCAGTGTACATCGTTCAGTCGCGAGCTTTAGACCCGCCCGGTCTCGGAAGTCGAACGATTTTGCGGCCGCACTTTGTTCAAAGTGCACTTCGCTCGGAGCGGAAAGCCGTAACTTGAAAAATGGTTTTCCGAGCGAATACGACACCGCTTCGACTGGGTCTTCAAAAAAATAAAACAAAAAAGCATGTCATTCTTTTTTTTTTTTTTTTTATTTGTTTGCTTTCTGAGAGTGTAAATTCAAGATTTTCCTTCTCCCGTACAAAGAAGAGTTTTGGCATATCGTTCCTCGCTGGTTCCTTTTTACATATATATTCTGCATCAGACATGAAAAAGCATTCGAAAGATTTGACATCTTGGTTTGGAGCTCTATTTTGAGTAGCGCTTGCGTATACGCTCTCTTCGCTTTCAAAAAAAACTGGCAAGTGCATTTTTGAAGGGCGTCGACGAGGGATGATTTGATTTGAAAGTAGGGACTCCGCGTTGAGGTTTCGGCGTGGTTGGGGGCGGAGGCTGTCAGGCGCGTGCACGCTTTGTCATTTCGAGCCGACGGAGACCACTGTAGCTGTTCTGTTTGTTCGGGACGCAGCGAAACGTTTATGAAGATTTCTTGTTTGAAATATGTAGCGTTTTCGCTCTTTCTTGTTACACAGACCGAACGCTTAGAAACCCCTATTTAAGTTTAAACAAAAAAAAAAAAACAGCAAGATGGTGTTATGTCACACGATGGTGTGCTTGAGGATGACTTTACGTTTCAAGATCGATCATTTATGCGTTGGAACCGTTTAAACATTCTGACCTTTTACAGGCTTCGTGCTTTTAGTCTGCCTCTTTCGGTTTATTCTGAAAGCAAAAGTATTCATTTCAAGTTAGATACTGCCTATATAAAACGCATTTAAATAGGCGTAGATAGAGCGTTAGCAAGCGTTCATTTGTGACGGCACATATGTGTTTCAGGCAAGATAGAGATGATCTCAACGTCTATACGAGTAAATTTTAAATAATAAATTGAAGTGTATCTGGTCGTTTATTGACAGTTTCGTTATATACCTGTCATCAATTGAGTTGGCTGGAGATATTTATGTCCAACAGGAACTGAACGAATCGCACCAACTTTATAAATTCCAAAAATCTACCTCCCAATGTTTAAGCCGTCCAACATCCGACGGGATCGTAAACTCATTATAAATATAACCGTATTCCACCAAGTGATGGCCATTCACTGCGTGTATTGCCCGACCTGGACGCCAGTGACTACTGCCTGTCGGGAATCATAAAAAAAGAAAAAAAAAAAACCTTTAAGGGCGCCATTTAGTAGTCACTCACAAGCTGGAAGCATCTGTCCAGGCGCGGTTCTGACGCACTACAAAGATGTGGTTCGGCTAGGGCATGAAAAAAGTGCCACTCCGGTTGCGCAAGAGCACTCGGCTGTAGGAAAATATCTGAAGAATGAGAAAGATTTTCTACAGCTCTCTCTAGTTGACCGGCACTCGCACTGAAAATAAAGTGCAAATCATTAATCCTCGTAAACGTTGTACTAAATTAAGCGACGTGCTGAGCCCCAATGGCGTCGAAAACCACACTTCTCTAAAATGCATATTAAAATCCTCTCTATAATTAAAAAAAAATGTTTTTGTTTGTTTCTTAAGTTGCAATTAGTATATGAAGCATTGAATATCTAACACTGCGCTTATTTTTTTTTTTTTGGCGCTAACGAGCTAATAAGAATTCGCAAGCGCGCACTGGATGACAAGCTACGCTCAAGAACTTACTAAGGAGGGTTCGTCCCACAAGCAATCGGAGGCGCTCAGCCACATTTGATCCCCAGCAAGCACTCACGCTCTCTAGCACAAACACGAAACACACACACACACGCACGAACGTATTCGTACCCACGCGCATAGGCAGGGAAAGGAAAGAAGATAAATGGTCCCCCGAAAGCTAGAAAAACCACGGTGGTAAAAAAAAAAAAAAAGGCCAGCCTAGGGCAAGAGCTTTAAGCACCCCTGCCACCGAAAGATTAGCCAGAGATAGAGATTGCGGTTGGACCCGATTGAACGGGGAAAAAGGGGAAGCGGACGATGGCAACAGGGAGCAAAAATAAGGAAAACAGTCACCACTTTTGGGTAGGTATGCTCCATTCGCCCCTAAGCTGACAGTGAGCTGGACGCTACGCCCTCGCTGGACCTACCAACCGCTAGCGTTTCATCAACTCCCGAACTCTCTCTCTCTCTGCGCGTCTGTGCGGGGCGGGAATGCGATCACGTGACCAAATACGACTGATTCAACTAGCACGCAGCTTTCGCCCTACTGTCACCGTGGGGATGAGCGGAGTGTAGCCGTTTTCCCGGAGAGGGAAGTTCGGGAAGGAAGGAGAGACAATTGACTCTGTTCTTTTGTTTTGACGCGTTGAGAGGGCGTGAAGAAGTGGATGGGGGATTTTGGGGAGAAACGGAGCAGAGATGGGAAACTGGCCACTTGTTGGCTGGTCTTTTTCCGGGGTTACGGCGGGAAATGAAAGGAAAGAAGAAAAAAAAGAAACGAGGCCTGTTGATTCGGGGTTCCCAATT